CAATGGTCACTGGAGTGACCAAACTACTCTGCACAAACGAGCGTGCGCCTGATCGATCTGCCCATACTATTGCCATATTGGAGTCACCAATACTCTATTCCAGTAGTTATTTGATCAGTGGATCCTCTGGAACTGTTGTGGGGGGTAAAGGGTTAAGAAAAGGATTTTTAACCTGAACATAGTCTCTGTTCCTACAATCTAATTAGACGATTGAATAAAGTCTGTAGAAACTGTATACTTGGTCGATGCCCAACCAGTGATCGTTATGTAAGCTCATATAATTCCTGAAATTTTTTCTTTGTCAATTTTCGATGTCTCAAACTAAGAAATACAGCATTATAAATTCTAGAAATATGGTCTGATAAAGCAATTTGAATAACAAAATATTACAAATGTTTTAGAAGTACTTCAAATAAAACATTAATTTTGTTCATCTTTGGAAAGCAGAGTGTTATAAAACGAAATAATTTGTTTTGTCAGGCGTCATGAATACAGAAGGTGCCTTCTACGATGCTGGACCATGGCTCATAGAAGCATTGAATGATAATACGATAATCGTTCGAGGACACATGTCTTGAATATCATATCAACAAAATACTGCCTACCGAAAAGAAAATATCGTTCGGCATACACGGTACTTTCAAAATATCACCAGTAGAAAACAAATATCGTTGATAGTTTTTCAAGATTTTCGTTTTATTTTTAGCCTGATCGATAGTCATGGATGACAGTCATCATAGAATATCCTACAACGAACAGTAAGGTGGCATTACCACTTTATAACTCAAGTCAAAGTTCATATACTTTGACTAATTAGTGAGGGAAAAGTTAGAAATCTTTCAGTTTTAGTTGTTGTTATATACTCCTCCAATCATCAAACAAAAAGATAAATAACTTTGAAACGGTGTGCTGAGCACTATTATTTGCACTGGTGTATGGAGGATACCTACCGAATGATTTTAGATTATACTACGCGAAGCAACGCTATTTTTGAGACCCGTAGTTTACCGATGATATTAAATAAAAATGTTCGACATGAGAGTAGACCGTTAAACATCCAAACATTGTGAAGTAAAACATTTTTTCTTCTTCTATTAAAAATTGACTTCTATTTTGTCACTTTAGTTTTACTCGAACTAGACGTAAGTTTAAGTCATTGTCCATTTTTTCGTTTTAATGACATTAAATAACCATGGAAAACATTGTGATGAGATTAAAATGTAAATACCTAAACCAATAAATATAAATGGTGTTATAATTTCAGCATATTTGCGTGCTAATTTTAAAATAGGTGGAAAATGTATAAAATAATAGCACATACAACACCATACAGCTACCATTAGTAAAAATATAACGACATAAACAATAATTTGCCATGGTTTTGATTGAGCAAATAACGGTACATAAATGGCAATATTATCATTTCCATTCGCAATTGTCGTGAAAGCAACTTTAAATATATGAGGACTTAAATATTTGCATATTGATAATTTGATCTTCTTCCACCTTGTCACTGGAGTTGGAACGTGTATGGTTAATATTGTTGATACAGGTTCTAAATTACCCAACTAACCTCAAAAAGACAAATAAGCAAAGGTAAAAAATTTGACAAATTAGTCATAAATAGAGTAGAATAAAAACAACATCAAACATTCTTCTATTATACAGAAACAGTAAATTATGTTCGAATAATCATCTCCTTTCGTAAAATATCAAAGACAACAACAAAACAACATACCAAGACTTGTGATGATGTCAGCTCCGTTATTTTTTCTGATTCGATCAACGTTTGTTCTACTAAATTTCTATTAGTAGTTACTAGTGACAAATCATTCTCGTTGGATAAATCTTCAGTCATTTTAATCGTTGTAGTTACTTGCTTTTCCTTCTTACAACATCTATGTTTGATCATTGTTCTTAATCCATTCAAACCAATAAAAATAATTAAAAATCCTAGAAATCCTAATAATTTAATTGGTATTGCATAACTAATCGCATAACCAATTAAACTTAATGTTAGCAACGTTGAAAATCCTAAGTATTGTCCAAGAACAACATGTCCAGTTTCTAATGTTGTTGATTCATCGTCTTTTCGTGATGCTTCAAGAAAAAAATTAATTAAAATAACAATATCTTGAATATTTGTTAAAACAAAAGTTATGAATGCTTTTAAAACAAATTCTAAAATATCTTTCATATTGATTGATTATATTTAACATGTCTATCATCAACTACTAGGTAATGCAAGAAAAAGATCAAAAAAAAGAAATCATGCGTATCCGTTATATTTGCTTTATTGAAAGAAAACGAAGTAATAAGTGAAATATCTGCTATGTGTCCAGGAAATGATATGTTTATTACTAGAGGTGTATATACATTTACATTTTTTTCACTGTCACTGAAATATTACCTGTTCCGTTCTATTAATGCATAACAGTGTACAAAAAACATTGTCCAAGGTACTACTTAATATAGAATTGTCTTACAAGTGAACCTCTGAGGTGCTAAAAACCTTTTTTGAATGGGCCCATGTTTAAAATATAGGCCCTCATGGGCTATGAAGAACCCCAACTTGGTTCGTGCGTAACTTACGCAAGCTTAGTAAGCTTTGTTGCTGAGATATCGAATTTTTACTCAAATTTTTCCCATGGGACGTGGATTTCAAGCAAAATTGAAGTTTTGAATTTCCTATTGAAACTTATCACATATTGTAGCCCAGATCACCTTAGATGAGCCCAGATCAGCATAGAGAAATGCTAGATTTCATGTACAATAAGGCGTTCAATTTCCGCCAACGTGC